TAATATCATCACTTAGAGCTGATAACTTATAATATTTATTATCATAGTCCTTATCAGAAACGGTCATAGAAATTATTTAGAAGGATTATTTAGGAGGATTCCTCTAGGTAACTGATGATTCTCTTCATAACTTCAAGTAGTCGCTGAAACATTACAGTTGGACTATGCATCAAATTTATGACAGCTAAACAGCACCCAAATCTCTTTTGCCATTTTACAGTCTTGTTCCGGTGCTCTCAACCATCTCTGCATTTAAATTTGAAAGGTGAGGTTTGATCTACCCGAAGATCAAACAGCTCACTTACCGTGTCGTCCATCTGACGAAGCCACAATTCGTGGATCGATGAATTCAGCTCGTTTCCCGGTGATCCAACCGATGAATTTCTGCAGCGGTGTACTAGACTCCGGCACGAACATCGCAATCCGTCGAACACATCTACCATTTGTGATATTTAGCATCAATTGAGATTTGTTAGCTCGCTATTGAATCGTCATTATAGCTATCACTTTCCTTGCAGTGAGAAATCTTCATATTCTCTTGAATATGACTCAAATAGTTATTGCCACTCACAAGCTTACAGTTATGATTAATTATGCAACATGACTCCTTGGCTGCTAAAGACTGAGTCTTTTTCGATCAACAATTTAGCACTGCAACTGGAGCATTTCGCGAATTTTTTGGATTACTGTCACCAGAATATCTTCGACAATTCCATTAAAGGGTTTATTTTAGAAATAGAATTTAATGGGTGCAATCAGCTCGGTTNACCGTATCCACGAACCACATCATTGCCGAACCCGTCGAATCCATAACAGCTCAACACAAGTTGTGGCCCTAGAAACTTGATTTATTCTTCTTTTATTCAAAATCTTACCAGACATTTCTTAAACTGAGCATTACTTGACGATAAAATGCGCATTCCGTAAAATTTGAGAACCATGAGAGGGTTTTGATCAAAGTTATGCAGGAGAGGATCCAAAACAGTCAATAAGGCATATTGATCATAATGAGTACTTCAAGTTATTGTGAGTTTCGAATAAAATTTGTACGGAACTAACGAACATCTGAATGGATTTGTCGACGTGAATGTAGCCTCAATAGGAAGACCGATCACGATTGAGTCTCGACACGACGTCCTCGTACACCTCGCACTCAAACCTTCGCTCATACCACTCACTTGCTCCCAGTCATTCCCATACACATACGAATATTTACAGTAGCAATTGTCCAGCGATGGGAACTGCAGTTGAAATCGACTCGAAATATTTTGGCTCATGAATAGAACGGATAACATTTTCGTTGAACAAGAAGACTTCTTCGGAGACATGCTAGTACCAACACTGATGAGGAATTCGTCGGAACTTGAGGGCATTCCAACCCAATTTTTCAGTCATTCGAGTGCTAATTGTAAGTGTTCGCTTGCGATAGCTTGCTTCCATGAACTAGAGGCGGCNTTGCGATCATTTTTGTCAAGAAGAAGATGAAAGTAGAAAGAGAGGAATATGGCGTTAGTTACCTGAGCTGTCTCGATTTGGCCGTTCAGTAGCACAACAAATGTGGATTTCATGGCACTGATAGCAATATCATTCTCAAAGATACTGTCCAAGATTATGAGTTGTTTGCAAAAACATGAATATCTGTCGACGCCAACAATTCAGGTAAAAAATATGGATTGGATTCAGAAGCACTGAATCAATAAGGCATCATTAAAAGTACTAAACTATATCGAATAGATTATACAAATACGAAATGACGTAGAATTGCTCAATCGCGTGCATGTATCTCTATCGAGCGATTACCGTCGCTATGGTAACGAGTCAAGCTTAAATTCGCTTGAGTACTGGCTGGTGTGTCAAGGCGAGGACAACATGAACAAGCGAGTGTCTAGGCAACACGTAACCTGTGTTTTAGTGAATATTTGTTGTTCATGTTGTTGTTATTATTATTGTTTTATTGGTTCCGGTAAACATTCAGTGACTACCAGTAAAATCTCAGGGCACTTCATTGACCCGCAAAATTACATTAGAGGGATTTATTTTTGTCTTCATTTGGAATGATTTGTTGA